TGTAAATAATATATATTCTTTTTTTCTTTGCAATAATTTAAAAAATTAAAAAATAAACTTAAAAAATTAATTTTTAACTCTTAAATTCTTAATTTATAAAAATAGAAAAAAAATTTTATTATATATTCGTGAAATTTATATTATATTTCATTTATATTATATTTTTGTTAAAATAATTTATAAAAAATAAAAGAATATTAAATTCTTTTTAACAAATATAAAAAATAATTTAGAAATCTTTATAATCTATACTATATTATCATATTAAAATTTTTAAGATTATAAAATTTTTACCACTCTAATACTTAAATTCTATTTGTAAAAATCATAAATTGCCAAAGGACCTAGTTCTTAGCATCACAACTAATACATTCAGTATTATAAAATATTTGAGGTAATTTAAAATATCTAAAAAAATTTAATTATGTGACAAATATTTGAAAAATTATTAGTTTTATATGCTAAATCATATTACAATATACAATAGATATAAATTGCATATCCAAAATGCAATTCCAAGATAATTATTACATATGATAGGCCATAACCAAAATAGGATTTTTAATGATAAATTAAACGAAAAATAAAACTTTATACATGCTATAATTAAATAAATGTACAAAAGTATTTTCATAGCTTAATTTAAAGTAATCCTGCCTTTGAGAAAATTTAATATGTGAATAAAAATTAATAAGAGATGGGCTGTGGTTGAAACATTAGGGCTATTTTTATAGCTTTTTGACTTGGAGAAATTAGGAGGGATAAAATAATCTATTTTAATTATATTTTGAGTATTGATACATATGCTGAAAAATAAGATAAATTAATTCTTTAATTAGATAATTATTGTAATTTGATATTTCAATATGAAAGACATTCTCTCAAATACAATTAGATAGATATTGTATTCTGTGTATTTAAACTTATGTATTATGAACTATATAACTATGTATTGTGAAGTAACTATTAGTCAATAATATAAAATGCCAAATTTATTTCTTTGAATTCTTCCATCCAATAAATTCATATTATAAAATATTAATATGAAATAGAAAATGAAAAGTAAAATATCTTTCATTATTTTAAATTATATAGAAATGAATTAAATAGAAGGTTGTATGCAATAAATGTTAGTAAAATCTGTCCCTAAAATAATAAATGTATTTTATCATATGAGATTTGTTAATCTGATATGAATTTTCTTGTATTAATGCATAAGATATTTGCTATATATGCAAAAAATGACGTTATATATTAATGAAGTTACTCTATTTCACAATTAAGATTTCAAGTTCCATGCAATTTTTCTCGTGTATATGTTATTTTATTTGCAGAAACAAAACTATTTTTAATAGACTTTATGCAATGTGAACACATGAAAAAACTATATATTTAGATATTTTCAGAATTATTTTGTGTTTAATATAGTTCGCTATAATTATATTAAAATAATATTTAGCTTTAAGAATTTTATCCTAGATAATTTAAAGTAAAAAATTAATACATTTTAAAATGAATTAAAATAATTCATAAGATATTTGCTATATATGCAAAAATAATTAAAAATATAAAAATATAAATTAAAAATATAAATATTACATACATATAAATATTATATATGAAATATTGCAATAATACAAATTATATTACATTGTATTTACACATATCTGTACAANATACTATTTACATAATTATATGTTATTTTATTCCATAAAATATTAAGTAATATAATATAATTACTAAATAAATCTAAAATATTAAAAAAATGCAATATAATTTTAATTTAATATATATTTATTTATTTTTTTTATATAGTTTTTAAATTATTGTTTTTATGTTACATTATTTTGCACTAATTACAATAACAAAGATATAAAATTAAACTATGTATATCTTAAAAAAGAAAGAAATATTTTATGTACAACATATAAATATTTATCATTAATAAAAAAAAAAATATAAAGATAGTGTCTAATTTATGTATTGTAATATTAATTATTAAACTTCGTCTTCATTTAAAAGCATATTTGGTATACCATCATTGATTGGAAACTTTCTACCAGATTCCGGGCATAATAGATCTCCATTAATGATTTCAACTTCAAGTAATACATGATGAACTTTTTTTAAAAATTCTTCATTTGTTTCAAAATCTTGAATCAGAGTCTGTGGTAATTCTCCAACATGTCCTATCTGCATTGATATATAATATATTATTATTCATTAGTATATGTGACTTAGATTTTTAATATTATTGTTTACATTTAAAAAAAGATATAAATATACTTTGATAATATTGAAAATTTTATATTGAAAAAGAAAAAAAAACGAATGATTTTAAATCTAAGTCATAATTATTTCATATAATACTAAATAATTACAGAAAAATTAGTTCATACTTAAAACAAATTTTCATATATTTAACATTTAATAAAAAACTTAATAAAGACTATAAATAAAAATATTTTATTTTAAATGATATTTAAAATATTTCATAATTTTTAAATTATTTTATATATTTTTTTATATTTAATACGTTAAAAATTTTAACAATAATATTTATTTCCAATTAATTATATAAATAAATACAAAAACTTACGCTTTCTGCAGCTTTCCAAAGTGTAGCCCAATCAAGTTTTGGAATTATTCTTGCGATAAATTCTGAATTGAAATCTACTTCTGAGACTTTAATATCTTTTGCCTACAATTTTATATAAGAAATGTAATACTTTCTTTATTAAAGAACTTTTAAATTGAATTGAATATATACTTTATATTAAACAAAATGTATCATAAATAGTATGTTATATGTGATTTTT